AATATGTGTTTATAACTCCATCATTTATTTAGAAATCATTTATTGGGGGTCTGCACCCTGCCTCTCATGTACTGTGTCTGAGCTTTCTCACTATCCTGCTGTCTGATTATGATGGTTGATCTGGGACAAGCTCCTTTACTTGTAGTTCCTCACTGTCAATAACAACAAGTGTCATCACTCCACTGCTGACTGACTCTGCTTGGGCTGATAAGATAATCACCCTTTTCACATCCTATTCTCGCTTTTCCTGCTTTATTCTTTGCTGATGATGTTACTCTGCTGCAGGAGACTGTGTTGAATGCTGCCATTTAATCACATTTTCCACAGAGCTTTATCCAAGTGGTTTTAAAGTCTAAACTTAAACATGTGTTGATCAGAGCGGTCAAAGAACAGAAAATGCTCATGGGACATTTTGGAAAGCACTGACTAATAACTGGTTTTGTGTCTAACAGCGACGGACTGTGCAAGACCAAACACGACAGGACGCAACGGGCAGAACAGGGAAGGTAGTCAGGAGGACAATGCAGAGGACAATGCAGAGGACAATGCAGAGGACAATGCTGAGGACAATGCTGAGAACAATGATGAAGACAGTGATGAGGGTAATGGTGAGAATATAGGTATGCTCAACTTAAGAAATGTCAACTAGCATTTGATGATGACTCTTGATTCTTTGACTCAGATACTGAATGAAAGAAAGGCTTTTCTAAGCTATAATTATTTCAGCAAAATCTACTTTAAGTATCAAATGTAGAGACCAACGTCTCATTGTGCAGTAAAATGGTCCCTGTCAGTGTTTTACTGTTATATCTGATGTTTGGCATTAATATTACTGCTGCATTAATGTGTCTGTTGCATTGTAACTCTTTATACACTGTCTCTGTCCCGTGAGAACCACGTATATGTAAAACGACCAAACACCAGCCTGGTTTCAGCGTTGTGATGATGCATTTTACAGATAATCCAAGAGGGTTTTATTTAGCTTAATCAGTGGGAGAATTTTCTCATCGAGGAACACTTCCTCTTTTAGTTCATCACAAACATTCAACATCAACACAGCTGGAGATATGCGGTTTTCACTGCACAGGAAGGTATTAAAAGCTGTATGAGATGTAGAAGATGAGAAGTTGTATAAAAATACTCAAGTAAAATTGCACTGAAGTTCAGTATTTGAGTGCACACAGACAACAAGCAACTGACCTGTGATAACTGTCAGTATGTGTAAGATATTACAGGATAGACATTAAATAGAACGAGCTATGCTGAGATGCATCAACATTTTCTGACGAGTTTTTAAAAATGTCAAAAATAAGTTAAAAAAATTTAAGTTTGTTATTGTTGATGATAATTGATGATTTTAATATATGGATTCATCTGCAGAGGTCAGAAGTAACAAAGTACAAATACTACTACAAATATTAATATAATTTTTTTCAGGTTTCTATACATTAATTGAGTTTTTTATTTTTTTGTATTTTTACACAAATATCTGTACTTTCTACTCCTCCAGTTTTAATGCTTTTGAAGGGAACTATTGATTATTATTATTTGCATCATTGGATTTCCTTCCCAACATCAAGACAAAACAGAGGAGAGAGGGAAATCTTTTTACTATCTCTTTACTTTTATACTGTGAGTCCATTTTCAGTACTTATTAGTTAAGTGAACTAATGAATTATCTGTACGAATAAAGAATTGTGTACTTTTGCAGAATGCGGGTCAGTACAGAGCAGAGTTGTGTGTAATGTTTGAAGAAACATTCACGCAAATACAGACAAGTTCCACCATTTCATCCAGAACTTCTTTCTATGTGAATGTTGATTGTGTAATATTCTTGATTAAAATGCAGCTGCAGGGAATTGTTCAGAAGTTCTTCCTGATGTGTTGATTGTATAAACCACTGCAGGGACAGAGTTGGTGTCTCAGGACCTGGTTTTAACTAGAATGAGTCTAAACTGTCAAATTGAATCTTCTCAGTGTCAGTTTCCAGCTCCCTCTAGTGACTTGTTACTGTATAGGATTCATTGACCAGAGAGGGAAATAAAAAGCTTTTTTACTTAATTTTGTGTTTTTGCTTATGTTATCTTGTTTTTACTGCCCTGTGAAGAACTAACATATATTTTAATACACATTGTACTACTACTAGACTGCATTTTATATACAGTATATTGTTCTTATTCAACCTTTTGACCAAAATCACTTATAACAGCTGTCAGTTCTGTAAACTGTGAATCATCTGGACACTAGGAGGCTGAAACTGTGATTGTTGTTTGTTAATAAAAATGTTTTTAACTTGTACCTGACATTTTGTTCTTATTTGGTCTGATATTTTGGGGAAGTGCAGAATCTTTAAGTTTATTGCAGCTGACCAATTAATGTTCTACGACACTGAACTGAAAGAAGAAAATCAAAGTCAGTATGAGTCCTATTTATACTATTATTGTGTATAACTTGCAGTCATTGATAGTAGAATATAATACAAAAAACATCACAGAGGTTACAAAACAGAATAGATTTTGAGATTCAGTTTAACGATCATCTTAGATTAGATTCAACTTTATTGTCATTGCACAAAGTATAAGTACTGAGACAGTGAAATGCAGTTGAGGATCTAATCCGAAGTGCAAAAGCAGTAATTTACATATATACAGGGCAAAAATAACAATCTATATATATATGAATATGCTAGCAAGATATGTAGAGCATTGACAGAATAAAGAGAGTGAAGTGAATACACTAAGATATACACAACTTGTGTGGCACCAGCAACAGTCACAATTGCAAAGAGTATGAAAAAGTGTAATTATATACTGTGGGTTAATTAAGTTAAGATATGTACAGTTTGAACGGTATTAGCAGTATTTATATCGTGCGGATATTAGTGCAAGTATTAAACTGGTTGACATTACACACAGAGTAAACAACTGCAAGGGTCCAACTGCAATCCTCCCTCCCAGAGCCACATCTCAACGGCTTTGCTCCCTCCAGAAGTTCTGAGAACCAATTAACCTATTTCACCTTAGCACTTCACTCAGATTTGTTTCTGAACAAATTTAAGGCACCACCGTCACACCACTCACACCTGGAAACAACAAGACGACATGGATTCAAGAGAAACACACGGATGAATCCCACATGAGGTCAAAGTCTGCCTGCTTACATGTTAGAGCAGTTATGAGAGTGCAGAGGGTCCCCAGCATGGTGCCAGTGTGTGCTGAGAATGGCCTTGTACCTTGGAAGGTGAACTTACTGCTGACAGATAGTGGAGTAGTAGAGGGTTTGGAGGATGAGGAGAGGAGGTGCTGGAGGAGCATTTTAATACAACACTGAAACTGAGACAGCTTTGGTAACATCTGCACAGTTTGTCACAGTTGGTCTCTTATCTTCTGTAAAATATTATAACATCATCATTTGTTGTTCTAGGTTTGTTTCTTTGCTCACTTCCCAATAAAAGTGATTCACCATCATCAAATTGTGTATAGTTTTCATCATATGTGCTTGCCAACTGGTCGAGACAGACGACCACCCACCTAGAGCCGGAGGATCTGTCCTAGGTTTCTGCCTTTTAACAGGCAGTGTTTCCTTGCCCTTGTCGCCAAGCTCTTGCTCATGGTGGTACTGTTGGGTCTCTGTAATTAATGTTATAAAGAGTTCGGTCTAGACCTACTCTATTTGAAAAGTGTCCTGAGATAACTTCTGTTATGAATTGGCGCTATACAAATACAATTGAATTGAATTGAATTGAATAGAAGTTGTTTGATTTTAACAAGATTATTAACATTTAAATGTTAATAATCCATCTATGAGTGTGTTTCCAGTCAGAGACACTTCACCTTTTCATTTACATGCAGCTATAAATGAGGAGAGGAGGCCTGCAGGTGCATCCTGGGAAGTACAGAAGTCATGGTCAGATTTTTAATTTAGTCTTAACTTTTGCAAACAACTAAACTAACTAAATAACAATGTAGCTTTCTCAGTTAAAGTTACAGATTTTATGGTTATTTGATATTATATTAAAAACTGTTAAATGAACCCAAACAATAAACTCTTTGTGTAAAACTAGTGATTTGGATTAAATTTGAGCAGATAATTTCTACTCTCATACAGATGTGTTTTTATTTATATTTATTTTAATATTACAACAAAAATAAATCTCTGACAATAAAACATTTCTTTGGCCAACACATGGTCAAAACCTATAAACAGCTGAAACAATTAGTCCAACCCTTAAATAAACCTCCAGTTCCACCCGATGGCACACAACCGGCCTGTGAGGGTTCACAGTCTTTGTTCCTTTGAGTTCAGACTTTTAGGAGCTGCAGTCCGAACAAACTCTTCTATCCACTGTAATCCTAAAATGATTGCAGTTATTTCTGCTGTACATACAGACAATGTCTCTCTCTCTCGACCCTCTCCGACAGTTGGGCCTGCACCAGGACCGACTGCACGGGATCCGTATCATCTCTATCTGAGATCCGTATTGTAAAAGACAAAAATATATTTGTTCAAGTGTTTGTTGGTTGGAATATATTCTGAAATACCGCTCAGAAGTTTTTTCTTTATATTCATATATATATATATATCACGATTTTATAAACCTGTATTACTGTGTGCTGAAGGAGGGTCAGTTTAAACTGTGAAACATCTTCACACTAAGAGACTGAAATGTCCTCCTGAAACTGTGATTATTGTTTGTTAATGAAAATAATTGTTTGTTGTTTTTTTTGTTTTCTTTTACTTGTTCATGGCCTTTTCTCACATTTTGAATTGACTGAAAAAATGCAAATTCAGCACAACCTGTAACCAAAACATACCCGTAATCAATAGTTTTTTCTCTGCATTAAATTATCTCTGTGTTTTCCAAAGAGACTGACTGGCTCTGATGCAAAACGCTGCAAATCACGCAGGACTTTTTTTAATCAGTGTAACCTTTAGGCTACAACGTGTAATCTCACATAAGCAAACAAGACTACACCCATTTTATTATTTTTAATGTGGAGGAAGACATTGTGCAACCTCCTGCATCCCGAGGGAAAGAGAAAGTTACATTCCCCCAAAGCTCCCAACCAACAAACGGACTGTATTTGATTCTATTTGTGTCTTTGTTATCTTTCACAAAGTTCTACAGTCTGTCTGTCTGTCCGTTCTTCCAGCGACCGAGATGAAATCCATCCTTCTGGTTTTACTGTCCTCTGTCGCTCTGAACTTCACAGGTACTTTTTTGTTGTACTTCCGTGTCTACCGTGTTGTTTTTCTCTTTAACATACTGCAGACACTGCTGCTGATGATCACTCTGCCTTTATTTAGCTCATTAACTGCCCGGATTCCGTGAATTGAATGAATAAATTCAGCGGTAAAATTCGGACTATTTATTATATATTTACGAACTTTGTCACAGATCTCAGTGGATTTAAAAAGAACTCCAGTTTTAGACTGTGAGAGAAGCGACTTAATTCGAACAATCTTATTTTTTTATGTGTGTGTGTGTTTGAATCCTCCAGATAGTCGATGTATTGATCAGTGTAAAATAGAATTTGGTGAATTGGATCGCAGAAACGGCCTTACAACTGCACACTGCTTACTACATACACTGGCTCGTTGAGCAACTCTTTACAGTTACAATAAGCCCGAATAATCTTTTAAATGTTGCATTTAATGCTGCGTATTTAATGCTCAGTTTATAATCTGCTGTATGATTAACCGACCGCAACAGCCAGATAATGAAAAGTGTTTTTTACTTTCATCCGTTTATTTAGTATAATGTCTCCTCCCACATAATGCTTTTGGCACAGAACTTAACACGTGGCTCATTACAACATACAGTCTAGTAATGAAATATTATCTTTTACAACAGCTTTTTCATACCAAAGTCAGGACCAAGTAGACCAGTTGACAAAGATCTAATTAAAATAACTAATGAAATATAGAGGCTAGCACTAACATTTTCTTTAATATAAATGATTATTTTACAGGATAAAGATAGATAGATATTTAGATATAATTGATATTTATCCCGCATTCAAATCAAATCAATTTCACTCAACACTAAGACAAAATTAATTTAGTGAAATGAAATAACAACAAAAAAACCCACACACATGGGTTTTTATTAACCCAAATTTGAGACTAAAACAGGGAAATGAAACAGCAAACTGCAGCGGGGGTCCCACAGAGTTAAAGGCCGGGCTCTCTTATGTTCTAAATCACACATAAACATGTCCACAGAATTAGGAACTATTGGGTTTACATCAACAGTAACTTAACAGGACAGGAAAGCAGGTATGGCATTATATTTGTGCCTCAGTCCTCACTTGGAATAAAGAATATATATATGTAAAAACACAGGCCTTAATTATGTTTTGAAGAGAAACTGGAACCATGGAGGAAACTAGTTAGAAAGATGGAAACACTTATATTCATCAGATGGAAATACTCCTTTACTTTGATTTTAACAAACTAAAAAAAATAAATAAATACGATTTTAATCATTAATCTGAATTTTGGGGAGAAGGGACACATTTTCTACTTTTGTGTGGAGTAGCAGAACTAATTACTGTTGGCAGGGAGTAATAAGTAAAGTAATTATATTACTTTTTTAAAAGCATAGATAGATAGATAGATAGATAGATAGATAGATAGATAGATAGATAGATAGATATTTTATTTATCCCGAGGGAAATTCAAGCATCCAGTAGCAGCATACAAACATACATTAGACATACATTAAACATACATTACAATTTAAATTAACCTATAGTACAGTAGCCATATATTAAATTGGATAGATTAAACTTTTGCAGAAGAATAAAAATATGTGCAGAGAGAGAAAATAAACTAGAAAAATGAAACATGTGCAGGTAAATTAAGTGTTTAGAGGTTAATGTAAACTGTGTGCAATTAAAATTGCGGTGGAAAACATTGTAGTATGCATAGCAAGCCAGTAGGTGGCAGTGTAACTTTGCAATTTAACGCCATGGACGTTGAAGTGAAATTGTTAGTCAGAGTGTCTGGATTATAAATAATCCAATTTTATCTATTTGCCTTAAAAACCTCAAAGTCATCTGCTAAGTAGAGCCGTATTTCCACCATTGTCACAGTCATTTTGAATACAGGTAAAACAAGTTTTTATCATTGACAGCATATATAATGGAGGACTTCGAGGCCGAATCACCTGTTTACCTGTTGAATGTTCCAAACAGGTGTTCTTTGTTTCCCCTGTCCCAAATGTTTTGGAACTTGTTGCAGGCATCAAAATGTTTAGAGTGTGTGTATTTACCAAAAAACAGTTTTGGAATCATGGTTGTAGTTTCAATCAACATTCAGAAACAAAGTGTTCAATGATGCAACTGGAAGTCTAAATGCAATGTTTGTTTCCACAGGAAACTGTGATGTGATTGGCTCAACTCAAACCGTTAAAGTAAAGGTCAATGATGTCGCCATCCTGCCATGCTTCAGCACATCCAACATGACAAATGCAATAGTAAAGTGGAAACAAGAGCAGAGCAATAAAAAATATGTTCACTTTTATCGAAGTGGGGATGACAATGTAGATGATCAGGATGAGAACTTCAGAGGTAGAACATCTCTCTCCCGTAAAGAAATGAGCGGAGGAAACGTTTCACTAAAACTGACCAACGTAACTGAACTGGATGCTGGAAATTACACCTGCGATGCTCGTGTTGAAACATCGCCTGAAACAGTTCAACACAGAAAATGCAATGTCACCCTCATTGTTGGTGAGTACATCTAACTCTAATATTTGTTCAAATGAAAAAAAGAGAAAAGGTTATGTATTTGTAATATGTATAAAGTATTTTTATTTTTAGCACAATTTGTGAACTGTTGAGAAAGGCAATATGAGTCAGACTAACAATTTGAGAAAGTAACTATCCTGAGTGTTATTTATTTGTATCCCCATTTTAATAATATAACAATGCAAAACAAAAAGAGTGCAAAGTGGAAAAGAACAAATCTCCTGCAGTACTAATCTCATCGTTTATAGGAAGTACTGCTTTCATTGCTTGACATATATGTTGACACAAGCTGTTTGTTATCCAACTACCATAACCCAAAGTGTCAGTATTTGATGATCAACTCTCTAACTACTACAATCTAAGTCTGTGGTTCCCATCCTTTTTCCTTAAGGGGCTGCTTCTCAATCGTTTATTAAACTGACAACCCCTCACTAAGTGACATATTTTATGGATATTTAATCATTTTAAAACTGAATGAACCCAACTAATGCACTCAGTAACTGCAAGGAGTCTGTGTAAAACGAGCAATTTTGATGAATTGTGAGCAGATTATTTCCTGTTTAGGGAACTTTTTATACAATTCTTTGCCTGCATGATACATTTCTTACTAACAGATTTTTAACACATTAAACAGACTATATAGGCTTCTTTTTTGACAAATTCATGATGCAAAATGTTTTTTGTCATTTTTCCTTCAGAGCCAGAAAAGGACCCTGGTAAGTAGTTTATCTTTGTGATCTGTTACGACCTATATGTCTAGGGGAACACAGCGATACCAAGTTTACCAAACAAACTGGCAATCCCTGAATTCACATTATTTGTGACACAAAGACTAGTTGGTAAACATAGTGGAACGTTTAGGAGCTAAAGAGCCATATATTCCCGTAGGTTTCTATGGAGACCAAAAACAGACAGAGAGTGAACATTGGACTTACATTCATCCAGTGGACACAAATATAAAATACAAAAAAAAAAGTATAAAAATACGGCAAATTAATAACCCAGTTACTGTGAACAGTTTGTACAGTAACTTACTGGTATCCAGCTACCAGTGAGTTACTGTACAATTCAAAACAAATATACACACAAACTTCAAATGTAAATTTTACATGTATACAATGAATGCATAAACAGAGAAAAAATCTAAGCTGGAAATTATTCAGTTTGTGGACGGATATATGAACTGTATACATATGCCGTCAATGTGTTTTGTGCTTATTTATTCAAGCTTACATGGCAGAGTTATCATTTTACAACACAAGGTTATATAATAGTTTCCTTTATGCTACTCACAGAAACAAACATTAAATGGACCATTCTATCGAGTTGGGGCAAACTGCTGTCCCATAACCGACAAACCAAATAATTCTTTGATATTTACAAAGATCTTTCATTTATTTATTGAAATGTATGGGGTACTTTTAATTGGGATGGTTGTCCTGAACCGTAGTCCTACATTTCAACTTCTAAAAAATCATACTGGAATAAGTTTTCCATTGTTGTCTTTAAATTCATCTTTTAGATTTTACTGAAGGAGAGCATAAAAGCAATACATACATTTTAGATTTTCTTCATAAATCATGAAGCTTTATGTAAAAATATGTTGTCCCCACTAGTCACTACCAACAGTGGTTAGTCCGTGGTCTGAGAGACATGCACTGCAAACACGTGCAGTGTGTCCAGGAATTTAGCGTTTAGTGTTCAGAAATGGAGCACATCAAAATAATTTCAAAAAATCCTCCTAATCCTCAAAATGACAAAATAAAAACAGACAGCAATTTGTCTCATCTCTCCCGAGTACTTAATCACCTGTGTCTTTTTTCAGCAGTTGATAGAAAACAAGTAAGAGTCCCCGGCACAACACAGAAACGTAAGTAAAAAAAAAGAAAATTATTGATGGTGGGGTCAGTCATTCTGAAAGATGCTGATTGTTGAGGCACATCTGTTGTGTCACGAGGCTCGCTGTTTGTTATCCATCTACCATAACCCAAAGTGTCAGTATTTGATGATCAACTCTCTAACTACTATAATCTAAGTCAGTGGTTCCCATCCTTTTTCCTTAAGGGGCTGCTTCTCAATCGTTTATCAAACTGACAACCCCTCACTAAGTGACATATTTTATGGATATTTAATCATTTTAAAACTGAATGAACCCAACTAATGCACTCAGTAACGGCAAGGAGTCTGTGTAAAACGAGCAATTTTGATGAATTGTGAGCAGATTATTTCCTGTTTAGGGAACTTTTTATACAACTCTTTGCCTGCATGATACATTTCTTATCATTTAAATTTTTTTTATCACATTAAACAGACTATATAGGCTTCTTCTTCTTTCTATTTTTTGACAAATTCAGTGTCAGTGAAATAGTCCTACTTTGTATATATTTTTACATTATTTGTCATACTGGCTTCCAGTTGATAGAAGGATAGGATAGATTCAGAATTTCTCTAATTACTTTTGAGTTTAAGACAGACACAAAGACTAGCTGGTAAACATAGTGGAACATTTAGGAGCTAAAGAGCCAGATATTCCCGTAGGTTTCTATGGAGACCAGAAACAGACAGAGTGAACATTGGACTTCATCCGGTGGACATAAACAAGACTCCTCATGTTGTTGGATGTGTAAATAAAAACTGTTTGCTAAGAAATTCACCTCAACAACTTTACATGTGGTGATATATTAATGATATGTTCAGAATTCAGTTATTACAGGTTCAAATATTTACTGTACTCAAATGGATTTAGAGGAGAATATTAAAAATGGTCATAATACCATTGTTTGTGCAATGTGAGAAGTGTGAGAAAAATAGATGGATGATGTTATCTTGCAGCTCAGAGTGAAGAACAAATCTCAACATCTTTCCTCTATTCTTTCAGGAGACCATGGTACAACTGTTGGCATCTGCGTTATAATATTTATAATAGTTATTCTTGCAATTATATTACTTGCTGCCGTCTTTTTCATCTGGAGGAAATGTAAAAATACCAGTAAGTAAAACATTTATCTTCTCTTCATTTTTCCCACTTAAAAGGATATGTCCACATGTTTTAAGGGTTTTTGTTTCTATTGTTTGAAAAAAGAATGTAGCTGGGATGATGCTAAGGACAGATGAGGTGTGGTCAACAGTTAAAGCTGTACTTGACAGAAATACATAACTGATGGGGACAAACGTTTTGGGATAGAGATGAATTTGAAACAGCCTGGTCACACCAGACTTTTTCCACAAAATACTGTGAGTGGCCACTAGGCAAAATTTCAAAAAGGAGGACACATCTAGTTATCTTGTTGTGGAGCCCAATATAGATGAATTGAATATTGAATATTTTCTCAATTTGCACAAAAATCACTTTCTTGCCTAATTTGTTTTCCATTTTTAGTTTTAGGACTATTGTCACAGCTGTTGCCATCATCTTCCAGCTCTGACAGTGACACCAACTGTAAATTCAGTGTATTCTTGGCTTACTGGCAGTTTTTTTCCCCCATCTGCTTGCTCTCTCTCTCAGGGCACTGACTAATACCCTGTGTACTGTTGTAGGTACGCGTAAAAAACAAAAAAGAAGAAGACGCAACAGACAAAGAAACAACAAAAAGAAGAATCTTGACACAAGTTTACACATGGGAAGCACCAGTGACACGAGTACCTGAGCAGGTTCATTCAACACGTACCTCCAGTCAAACATCCTTCCTCAGAAATAGATTGTACATTAAGCACAGATCCTTTTAACCCTTAAATGCATGTCTTAAGCAACCAGTGAGTAAATTAAACCCTGTCTAATCAAAACTAAAAGATTGTTTAATGTTTGAAGTTTTATGTGTCAAAATGTTAGAAATGGTTTTCTAATGTTTTTTTCTAAAAAAGTTCATGGGGTCATTCGTGACTCAAGGTACTTCTAGTGCAGTAAAATGTTCCCTGTCAATGTTTTACTATTATATATAATGTTTTGGATTAATGTCTTTGTTGCATTTTACTGTTGTAGATGTTTAAGCTAACTTTAACTACTTTATATGCAACAATGCACCATTGAGACAGTGTAGCAACAAAACTTCACCTCTTTGTTTCTGTCAACTTTCTGTAGTGCAGCCTCATGCTGGCTCATCAGGGATTCAGCTAAATCTTCCAACTGCAGTCCAAGTACCTCAGGCACTTGCACTTGATGGCCTGAGGCGAACTACGGCTGAGACTAACCTTTCTGCAACCTGCAGTAAAGATACTGACAGAGAAACGCCCACAATCTATTCATTGACCTTCAGTACAATATTTTGAATGAGCAGTTGGACATGAATATTGACCCCTGCATAGCCACTGGAGCTTCCTGTAAAGAAAGCCCTTGCCCTTTGATCCTGAGAACAGGTGCCCCCTAAGTTTGCATCCTCTCACTCTGGCTTTTGTCCCTTCTTACAAACCACTTTACATCCCACTACAGCTCAGCTAACATTCTTAAATATGCAGCCGACACAACCATAATCGGACTCATAACCTACAACAACAAAGACCAATACCTTGAACAAGTAGCCACTTAGTGCCTTGCTAACAACCTTCTGCTCAACACATCCAAAACACATGAAGTCATTATAGATATCAGGCCTAGCCTCCTCCCCAAAACCACCATTATTTTCACAGGTGAACCCATAACCATCACAGACACATTCAAATTATTATATATCAGCATCACACTCAAATGGAATGTCAAAACAGAAAAACATACTCACCTCATTCAGAACAGTTTGGTACGGTCGCACAGACAGCCACATGCATTCAGTAAATCATCTAAGACTATTGGCACCCACCACCCATCTGTTGAACCACTAACACACAGTAAAAAGAGCTGAACAGATCATCTCTGACCCCTTTTACCCTGCCCTCCAGGAGGCCCTAAAGGTCCCTGCCAACCAAATAATGCAGTTTTTTCCACCACTGCAATAAGATCTCTCACTGATCCTGACAAATGAGCCTGCACTTAAAACCTAAAATCCTGTAAATATTGTCCTGTCTGTCTATGTTTGATATTACTTGACACTGTTGCATTGAGCCTACCTACCATCCTGTACCCAAAGCAAATTCCATTGACATTGGTTTTGTGGTCATTAATAAATGAATGATTGATTGAAGCACAGCACTCTGATTAACTTTCAAAGCAGTTTAGCGTTCCTTTGATCTGTTGTGTAGGACTATATGTTGATATCCCTAATTGCATTCCTGAGAGATCCAGAGTCATCCAGGCATCCTCTGGCAGAGGCATCCTCTGGGTTATCAAGTGGGCGCCCTCCTTCCTAGGTGTTTTGCTGATAGGCCCACGACACCTCCAGAGGGTTCAGCAGTGAATCCCAGCGTCCCAGGTTCACTCCCTAGATCCCAAGTTGAAAGTTAAATCCTCCTGTTTTTTTGTTTTAATATAAGGCAGCTGGTTTCTGTAGTAACAGACCATTTCTGATTGGCTATAGTCAAATAATAATGATATTCCAACTGTCCAGTTAAATCAAATCTGTTATCTGGCATTCCAGCAACCATTACATGCTTTTGTAATGACATAACACAGAATAGTATTAGTGATAATAGTAGCAGTAGTAGTCGTTATTATTATTATATACAGAATAAAATCAAAATTAATTTAAAGGAATATAATTAGCCTACATTTTATTTGATAGGGTTGTAAAGGGACCTGGATAACGGCTAGGAGGGACGCTGCCCTAAAAAAAAGTTGAGAACCACTGTCAGAAAAGTCAACTTTTCATTAGCTCAGAAAAACAAATTGATTATTTATTGTGCTATATAGAGGAAGTACAGCAGGATAGAATCAATAAAACTTTCTCTCCACTGGCTGGCTGTTGATGGAAGTGGGGAAATAAGGAGTAGTGAGCCTATTGCAAGTGTCAAAGATGAGCTCCTTCATCCTGGTTGTTGTTGAGGAGGAGGTGATTGCCTATGCACCACTGGGTGAAGAGGGCAACTGATTGTCATCATAATGCATCTTAATGGGTTGAGGCATCAGCCTCTGAAATGTATAAAATGTCAGCTAATACAAACACTGTTACATGGGAAAAGGAAATATATCGTATATAGCATCAAGCTTATTGACAATTTGACATTTGCCACTTTTTTGTCAGTTCAAACATAAAATTCATCAGATGCAAGAACCAGATTGTTTTAAAACGGTTTAGTGCGAGCATAATGGTCCTCCTCAACTCAAAAATGTTTCTTTTTGGATGTTGGATACTACCCACCCACTGTACAGATTGATATGTGTGCATGTGTGCAGAGTTTGACACTATGGAAGTCAAACCTGGTCCAGTCTGTAACTTACACAAGTGAAGCCACCATTGCACATACACTGAGAATGGATCTACAGTGAAGTAGGAGACATCTTGTGTCCAACAGGAAAACGTTACAAATGAACAGAATTTGAAGGTAGAAGGAGTAGATGAATGGATTTTAATGTTTCTTTTTGCATAACAAACACACCAGACACACTTTATTGTTCCAAGCAGACTATTTGTATATTAATGCACATCTGGAGGGGATCTTTACATAAACCATGGAAGCAACATGTAGCTAAGACATAATACAAATAAGCAAATACAACATGTATTAAATAATATATATGAAAATGAATACTGCCTTTTCCCCGTCATATTGGCCAACATACTGTACAAACAGGTTGTTCAATGTCACAAATTGTAGCTCCTCCTCCTCCTCTTCTTCTTCTCCTTGTTATTCCAGTAGGACATGATCAGATTCCTGCAGCTCCCCTTTTAGCATCAGCTCGAGCTGCAGGAGAACAGAGCAAAGAAAGTATTTTAACTATGAGTTAAAATCCCTGCTTTGCCACACCTGTCAGTCACCGGCCCTGAGACTCAGGCACAGTGAGTCTGTGTGAACAGAACTTTTAGCTTTGCTGTCACTTCCTGCTTTCTATTATTGTTACTGTGACAACCTCACCTCGTCAGCCACAAACAGGCTGCAGCCTGTTTTTGGTTTCAACTATGTGGGTTTTCCGGTATCTTGAGCTGGCCCTGTTTTTACTGAGGTATGTCACCATGGAAACCTATGCTGCACAGCTAATCTGCCTGGGGGCAAACTTCAACAATAGGCAGACTGTTGACCAATCAAATCACTGGAACAACTGAATCATCCTTCCAACAGTTTCCTGACAGAGACTAAAGTGCCGACTTCACAATAAAGTGACGAGTAATAAAGAGATAAAGATACTTTCACAGGTCAGTTGGATCACCTGCTTCTCGTTTCCAAACACTGAAAGATTCCTGACAATGTTTTTACCCTTGACTGCAGCTCAGAATATCAATTTAACTTTAACTGAACATTTTAGCCAGTGCCGGCTGATAACCAGCTTTATGATACTGGTTGTACAAGATCACCGAGGTTAGGATAAGTGCAGCCAGGAAACCCAGACAGAGCCAGACTAAGGTGGACTTTGAGACACAGGGCCCTGGTCCCTTCTGGTCAGAGTGGTTGCGGAGTATCCCGGCAAATCCAGTAAGCTTGGCCCTGACCTCTGACCCCTTGTGGAGGTGGCCGGCAGATCAATACTTTCTGTTATTATTAGGGTTTTGAGAAGTGTTCTTACCTCGAGCCCACCTTCTGTACGTGTATACACAGAAGATGAGTATGGCATTGTAGAGGATGAACAGCAGGATGGTACACACCAGGTTGGGCAGAGACATCAGAGGAGGAAGAGGAGGAGGAGGAGGAGGAGGAGGAGGAGAAGGAGGCTGAGCTGTGAGAAAGAAAACAATCATCAGAGTTTCAAACATGAAACATTATCAATTCTGTTCTCATCCAAATATCTGCATGTGAGTCCAGAATCTAGAGGCAAGGGACAAGATTTTGGTAAGGGAAGCGTCTGTGGTTTATGTTTGTAGTGCGAGTTGTATTGACCAATCATGTTTGAGAATGAGACTGCTATAATTCAATTCAATTGTTCATAGAAGGAACAATGCATGATGCATTAATTGCACCAGAAATAGCTTAAAGCTAATTCCCATGTGTAGTCCCAGGCATTGACAGTTGTAGTTAAATAACTATACAACCAGCCTTGGAACAAATGCCATATGTGTAGATAAGGATGGGATATACAAAAAATATCTAAAATATCAGTTTGGCTTTTGAACAATGCCAATATCTGATGGTTTTTTGTTGTTGTGTATCTTCCCTTTTGTGCCAGGGCAACAAGGGAAAAAAGCAATCTTGTAAAACTTAACAAAGATAAGGCAATACAAGGCAATACTAAAAAGCAGACCTCCCATCACACACACATTGAGTATTGGAAGCAGAACATTGTGTCACCTCTCACAGCCAGCCAGCTCCGCTTTGACTTTCCTTTTCTGGGGTGTTCACACTCGTAGAAACCTTCGTCAGACTTGGACACCGATTGAAGGATAATCTCTCCTTTCTCAGCACCGATGAAAACATTAGCTCTGTAGAACGCAGCAGAGAAATCTGAAGTAGACTTTTTTTGGTCTTCTTCCTTGTAGGAACAGCGAAGTGTCACTTTATCTCCCACTGCCACAGGAAGTGAAGGGCTCTCCAGGATCACAACACCATCTGAAATATAGAACAACACCTGACTACTAGAGCTTAACGTTTCTTTAACTACCCCCTTCAGTTCTGCTAGCTCCCTCCCTCTCAGCAAATTTATAAAATGCATCAGAGACCTGAAAAGGACGGACTCTCTCAAAGGCTGGGGGAGGTGGGCCACCCTCCTGTCATGATATGTCATGATGTAAATTAGTCTCAAAGGGCTGACTCTATGTCAGCATTGGCCTTGCAAGGTTCAGTTGGATTATAAACAATAGAGGGCACGTTGAACAGCTCAAAAACATGATGATGATCATTTAACAATCCAGAAGATTCGAAACACAACTGTACACACACAAACAAGCTCCATGCACATTGGTATTACCTGTCACTGTGATGTTGATGCTGTTGCTGTACTCCCTCTGCTCAGACTCACACCAGTACACTCCGGTGTCTGTCTCGTCGGTATACTCGATCTTGCAGGATGAGTTACCTGGGATGGCCCAGCCACGCTTGCACACCTCAGATATCGAAGCAGAGGTGTTTCTTTTCACCATCCAACCACTGGAGTTTACCTTCTCCTCACACCTCAGATAGATTTTTTCATACTGAAAGAACTGAGATCTGTTGGGACTGATGCTCAGTGCGGCTGCAAGGGGGGTGAAACCTGAAACAATTGAAGGGATTTAAATTATTTCTGTGTACACGGCTGATCATATGTGTTACATGCAGGCACAGCTGTTAGTTGTTGTTGGCCAATTTTAAAGCTGCATTAATCAAAACGTTTTGGTATGAATATCAACTAAAATAGTGTGTGCCATGTGAAAACAGCCACTTAAAATGAGGAACCCACAGAGAATTAACACTGTATGCTCTCATTGCTCTTTAAACTCTCAATACTCTAAACAGACCTCATTCAGAAAAGATAAAGTTAGAGATTATGTAATGACTATGTCTTATACTTTAGCCACTCCTGCCTGCTAATTGGGCTACTTGGTTTTAACATACGAAGTTCAGTCATGACCAATACTGCAGATCAGAATGTTTTTTTACATGTCCCATTTGGTCCTCTTTTCCACTTCCAGTAAGTAACTCAAAATAATAAAACAAACATTTCCAAATGCAGTCTGAGCACAGTTGAAAACTGTATGCTTCCCTTTCTAAATTACCAACACCTGAGTGAATGAATAAGAGGAACTTAAATGACCTACAATACAAAACAGTGTGCCCCTTGTGGCTTGGAGGAATATAACCCAAATCAAAACATGGCTCATACAGATTAGTTTGTAAAGAAAACATTTTGCAGCTAAAGCATCAGATATTTTTGAAACCAGATGTTAAAGGAGAGTGAACATTGGACTTTATCATCTGGTGGAGAAACACAACACAACAGCATTATCAATGGGATGATTATGCTGTCCTGTGTCTCTTTGATGTGTAAAAGTACAAACTGTCAGGCTTTCTACCCACCAGTAGCCAACAATTGATAAATGCTGCTATAAATAGATTGCATCTTCAAAAAAGAAGATTCAAAGAAAATAGTGACCCCTGATATTACATTACAGCTTCCTTCACT